TGCTAATAAAAAAAAAATTGTGACTACGTATTTTTATAATTTTTTAATTACTATAAGAATAACTTATGAGGAACTTGGTATTCAATTTTCAAGTATTTTGATAGKGCCGAAAAAATTTTATCAACCCTTCAAAAAATTTTTTCAGAAAAATTGAAAATTTCAGTTGTCTATAAATACCTCAAAAAAAGTCAAAATATTTTGAAAATTAAATCATGTAAAGAAAGTGACAATTTAAATAACTGGTAATTTTCAAGTATCTACGACTTATACATTTTGTATAGGTAATAACAAATATTAAAAATCGTTTGAGGATAAATCGTTATTTTTATGCTATTTCGTAAAAATTTAAAATTCAAACGCACTTAAATCAATACATTCATCACTTCGTTCAGAATCTAAAAAAGGAATCACATCAGTTATTATCGAATATTATATTTTCGGAGGTTGTCATTTGCGCATCATAAATACCTTAGGTAGTCAAAAAATTGGTTGATCGTTTACGTATTGATCGTTTTAACAATATAGTAATATRTGCATACTTGCTAATGACACGTTCTAAAGAAATTAAAAATATGCAATTCCTAAGCGAAAATTATTTCAAGTATACGAATTGAGAAATAAMTCGGTAACATTTTTTAAAAATAATTGAAAACAGGTTCAAAAATATTTAGAATTGTAAATGATTTAAATAGTTGAGTTATTATTATGATTTTTTTTTTTCCTTAGTAAAGGCCATTAAGGCGTTTTGCCACAACTACCACTTCCTCCCATCGTTCACTACCCTTTGCCATCTCTTCCRGATTCTCAACTCCTATTAGCCTTWGGTCTTGATGTACACGGTCAATCCATCGTTGTCTCGGTCGGCCGAGGGGTCTCTTCTTGTTTGGTTTCCATGAAGTTATTTTATTTTAATATTTTTCCTGCCCATCCTATTATTTTGCTTTTCATTACTGCTACTATGTCCGGTTGGTTGTATAGTTCAAATATTAAGTCATCATTAGTTCTACGTTCAAATTCATTGGTTACCTCATTCTTTTTRGGACGAAATATTTGTCTTAGTACTTTCCTTTCGAATATTGCTAGCTTTTTTCCTTCTGTTTTTGTTGAGGGCCATAATGCTGCACATGCGTACAAAGCAATAGGCCTGACAAGTACTTTATGCATTGTTGTTTTCTACTTATTTCTATTCGACTAAATAGAAATAATGATAAATGAATAAAGAATCTAATCAAGAGATGATAACACATTTTATTTAAATAATATAACGTATACATTTATAATGTTGTAATCTTTATAACGTATATGTAATTTATAGCAATATAGCATTGTGCAAACGGTCTATATAAAGGTTATTCGTGACAGTAGCGAAGGAAAAATGCACTGTGACTTTTTTTTTTTAACAATATATATAGCGRTGTGCAAACGTCCTACGACCTATATTTGTATATCATAYGATAAAATATGAAGGCAAAGCAAATGTATTAAATCAGATGCTAAGTGTTACTATAGCTAGGTAATCTACCCAGGTGCCTGAAAAGAAACTGGTGCGGCAGGGACCTACTCTCTCCTTAAAATTCCCTTTCCACGCGGTAACTTCCCCCGACAATCAAATCTCATCCGATTTACTTATTGTATAACTTGTAAATACAGATTGTAAATATATTAAACTTTGTTTCAATAAAAAAAAAAGTATCACTATAATTGGGTAGCTTSTTATGTTACTCATATGTATTATTACTCATTTGTTTATTACTATTGTCATTATAGTAATATATTAGTTTATAACCAACTGATTTAAGAAATATAAATACTATAACATTTTCATCAACGTCATACTCCTAGGTTTTGTAAGAATAAACAGAATCGCTTCGAAATTTAAAATACGTTTAAACATTAAAATACAAATAACGTTTTTAAATAGGTTTAAAACAGCTAGAAATTATAGTTATAAGTAATAACTTAATAACTAATRAGTATTATTGTGACTACTGAMYTATACACACCGTAAAATATATTTACATTAATTTATTATTCAATTATCAACTGCTACAGACTACAGTTATAGGTATAATTGTTAGGTCAAATATTACAGATGTCTATATTTGCTATT